GATTTTTGTCCAGTCTCTTCCCGCATCCCCCACACCCCTTTCCCCCCCAAGAATAGTCAGTCCATTCCCTTTCTATGCCCCTGATTCTATTATAATCACCAGTTCATTCTGTTCATCAGATTATTTATTCACTTGATTTTTAGATTCACTTGTTGATAGATGTGTATTTGTTGTTCATAATTTGTATCTTTACCTTTTTTTCTTCTTCCTCTTCTTAAAGGATACCTTTCAGCATTTCATATAATACTGGTTTGGTGGTGATGAACTCCTTTAGCTTTTTCTTATCCGTGAAGCTCTTTATCTGACCTTCAATTCTGAATGATAGCTTTTCTGGATAAAGTAGTCTTGGTTGTAGGTTCTTGCTATTCATCACTTTGAATATTTCTTGCCATTCCCTTCTGGCCTGCAAAGTTTCTGTTGAGAAATCAGCTGACAGTCGTATGGGTATTCCCTTGTAGGTAACTGACTGTCTTTCTCTTGCTGCTTTTAAGATTCTCTCTTTGTCTTTTGCTCTTGGCATTTTAATTATGATGTGTCTTGGTGTGGTCCTCTTTGGGTTCTTTTTGTTTGGGGTTCTCTGCGCTTCCTGGACTTGCAAGTCTATTTCTTTCATCAGGTAGGGGAACTTTTGTCATTATTTCTTCAAATAGGTTTTCAATATCTTGCTCTCTCTCTTCTTCTTGCACCCCCTATAATTCGGATGTTGGTACGCTTGAAGCTGTCCCAGAGGCTCCTTACACTATCTTTGTATTTTTGGATTCTTTTTGCTTTTTGCTTTTCCGGTTGGGTGGTTTTTGCTTCTTCGTATTTCAAATTGTTGACTTGATTCTTGCGATCCTCTAGTCTGCTATTGGGAGTCTGTATAATATCCTCCATTTCAGTCAGTGTATGCTTAATTTCTAGTTGGTCCTTTTTCATAACCTCGAGGGTCTCACTAGATTTCTTGAGGGCCTCATTACATTTATCAGCAGTCTCACCAGACTTTTTGAGGGTCTTACTAAATTTATCGGCGGTTTCTAGAAAGTTCTTGAAAAACCTTAAAAGTGTGGTTTTGAACTCTATAACCAGTCGTTTGCTTTCCTCCATTTCTGTCATTTGTGTCCTGTTTCTTTGTCTCCACCTTTTATGCTTCCCTGTGTTGATAGAGTGGCTTTCTGTGCTAGGTGTCCTATAGGGCCCAGTGGCTCAGCCTCCCCAATTACCTGAGGAGGACACTCTTGGTGTACCCCTTTGTACACTTTGTGCACAGTCTTGTTGTAGTTAAGCCTTGATTGTTGTAGGTATCACTGAGAGGAATTGACCTCCAGGCCTATTGGCTGTGAGAATCAGCTGTGTCTACAGTGGGAAAACTTCCATGCTGAAGACACCCTTATGGGGCAAGACTTGCTTCAGTGGGGCTTTGGTGCTCACTGAGTCTGCCCCCTGAGTGTGTCCCTTATGGATCTGAGGAGTTGTAATTGGATGGTCCCGCCCTGACCACTGGGTACACTGACTCTTGGATCTAAGGAGGTGCTAATTTAGTCTCTGCCTGAGGCTACCCAGCAGGAGCTACGAAGAGATCTGCAGATTCCCCTTCCTTGTTTGGGGTTTGGAGGTGCCCAAATGAGGCCCAGCTGTGAAGCAATGCAAGCTGCTGTGGGGCCTTGGGCCTTCTCTTGGAAGTTCTGGGTCTGTCTGGCCCAGCTGCAGTTTGTTAGATAATTTTCAGATTGCAAAGGGCCAGGGCATTCATATGCAAAAGCCTCTGCCGAAGCTTGGGTGGGGCGGGGGTCTCAGGGAATCAACAGGGCGGAGCAAGCAGCTATGGCTGATCCTCAGCCCTGCCTTAAGAGGCCCTGAGTCTCAGTGTCCCAGTAATCGCTGCAAGCACCTTTGAGAGAAAGCCGCACTTGAGTTCCGAGTTCTGCCCGCTGCCAGACAGTCCAGTTTTTCCCTGTATGAGTCTGGGTCCCCAGAGGCTCACTGGAGCTGGAGTTCAGAGCAGTCAGTGGCTTGTGACTCCCTCCCGATTCAAAAAGACAGCCGCGTCCTCAGTTGCCAGCCCTTGCCGCAGGTGCCTCTGTACCTCTGCACTTCCGCGCCTCCGTACCTCTGCACTTCCGCACCTCCTCTGAGTCTCAGTGTGCTTTTCTCTTTCCTTCTAGTTGTAGAATTTCCACTCAGCCAGCCTTCCTGTAGTTCTGGATGATGTCCGTTTTGTCTTTTAGTTGTATTTTTGAATTTGTTGTGGGAGGCAGCAATTTCCGGTGTTTACCTATGCTGCCATCTTGGTTTCCCCTCAACATACATTTTTAGTGAATATATCTATTACCTAAGACAGCATGAAAGCAAATTAGCTAAGTGGTGGTGTATTTTAAAACAATGCAAGCATAACGAAAATCTGGTTTTTGACATTAACAACCATAGGCTGTTGCAAGAATGTATGTGTGTCTCAGTCTGATAAAGGGAGTGGGTTTAGACAAAGCGAAAATCAAGAAGTATTTCTTTCTCAAAGTAAATGTGCATAAAGACTCAAAGGGCAAGTCCGCAGAGAAAAGCAGCCTTGAGTCACTGCCGAATCAGCAGGAACATCGCTGTCCATGGTCACCATCTGTAAGCAGTGCGCCCAAATGACAGCATCTTGGCTGGCTGTGTAGTCTTATTTTTTTATTTTTTGTAATAGTGTACTTGTGTTAGCACAGGGTGTTGATTTAAGTCAATGATGAGGAAATTCTAACTTCTGAATAACTGGAACAGAGAAATGTTATTTGAAAATAAAAGTAGTATGTAAATAGTAAAATAGAATGTACCCATATTCAAGGTATGTTATAGGTAAATTCTGTAAATATTTTCCAGAGGATTTAATCTAATGTTACTGAATTACATTGTAGCTTTCATGGAGATTTATATCAATTACCTTGAGTCAAATGTCTCTTATCTCTGTTAGAAACCACTTGAAGAAGAGTCAACTTTGTACTTTGAGAGATTTAAGTTCCAAATATCAAAAATGTCCAGTGATGAATTAAAATCACAGAAATAGGCAATTCTGTCAGCTACACCCAGGATTATAGGGATGTTTTAATACAAAAACATTTAGGTTTTATAAAAATATTAAAGATTTATCACTTTCTTCACTAATAATACCTGTCAAAAATAAACCCTTCTAAGTTATTTTCAACTTCATTTTAGAGGGAAGGGCTGTTTCTGAGAAATGCAGTTTTCTCTTTTGCCAATAATTTTTTGCTTCTTAAAATGAAGAGAATAGGGTGTATGTTCATGTATCAAATATGAAGCACACGAAGTCATTTTCCCTTGAGCCATAGGGAGGGGAGAAAAATCCCCGATGTAGCATTCTGTCCAAATGATGAACCACAACTAAGTGAGTGAAACATTCACAAAAGTCAAGGCAGCCCAAGGAGCCTCTCTGTTCAATAGAGACAGAGTAAGAGATGGATAGGATGCAACTAAATAATGGCTGGAGTAACACAATGGTTTCAAATCTCAATTGGTCTTTTTTTCTGTTATGTTCACTGGAAAATCAGGGCCAAGTGTATCCACCCCCCACCCCCATATAAACATTAGTTTTGTGTGTGGATCTTTCTGCTTTGTCCTTCATGTGGCCTCCAAGGGTGATAAAGCGAGAGTCATCTGATCTACAATGAAGAGAACTGAGAAATGATTCTTAGCAGACCCAGCTGTTCTGAAAGGCAAAAGCTTAGTATATCAAGAGGTCAAATATACAGTAACTGATTTAATAGCATTAAGCACATACCTACATAACTTGGATTACATATGAAACCAATCTATTTCTTAACTCTTTATTTCCTTACTAAAGTAGGCTTCTTTACATGTTTTGGCTTACATTCTAAGGTTTCAATGCTAGAACTCAAAGGAATGATCCTTTTTGGTATATTTTAGGTAATGTTCTATAAGGCTGTGTCACAAAGTGTTCTTAATATTCTTAATATTTAGCAGACCGATTATCTCAAAAATCTTATTTAAATAGTACTAATACATCAGAGAAGGCAATTAGGCTTAATCGGGCTACTGTTTAGTGTTTGTCATTTAAATTAATAATATTTTTAAAAAAACTTATTTTCATTTTAAGAGGTGAATTTTAAATTTCTCTAAATGGTAATTATTTTCAACCTTAATTTGTTAAATTTTAAGATGTTCAAATAGTATTTTTATTTTTATGATACACTGAATTAAATGACATGGTAATATCCTATACAAATTTTGTTAAGACTTAGGTCAAGTACCAAGGAGTAACATTTACCTCCTATGGGGAAATCATGTTATCAAGTTATAACATATTCTGTGATTCCTCTTCTCCTTTATTTTTTTAAATTATTTTTTAAAAATATATTTTAATAATTTTTTACAGAGAGGAAGGGAGAGGGATAAAGAGCCAGAAACATCGATGAGAGAGAAACATCAATCAGCTGCCTCCTGCACACTCCCCACTGGTGATGTGCCCGCAACCAAGGTATATGCCCTTGACTGGAATTGAACCTGGGACCCTTGAGTCCGCAGGCTGACTCTCTATCCACTGAGCCAAACCAGTTAGGGCATATTCTCCTTTATTTTGTGATAGCACAAACATGATGATATAAAACAACACCATAGAGAAACAGAATTAATGCTTCAAAATAATTTGGAGGGGATCACATACTGCCCCATAAGAAAATTCTCTTCTTTAAATTCAGTGATTTGTATAGTTCAGTTTAAAAACAACTTCATATTTAAATGTCTATTGAAAATGCATCTGGTATTTTATAAAAAAGGTGTGAAAATTTTAAAAATTTAAAAATATTTTTTCTCTACAATAGAAATAACTATAGAGTATAATAAAAATTCACCCTTGAGATAATAGCTACACAATAAACTTCTGGATAAATTTTTAAAGTTTTAAAAAGAATCTAATTAATACACATCTGGTCCTTAAATGGAACAACTGGTACCTAAATCTACTCACCATTAGATTTAATGAGTTTTAAAATATACAGCTCTACCAAAGGTGCCATTTTCATAAATGCTTTATTAAATCTATCCACAAATGCTAAAAGTTTACAGAAACATACATGATATAGAATAAAAGTCAAGATACTTGTCTACATGTTGGCTTATTCATTAAAGGGTCAAGAAGAAATGTATTATTTACATTGAGATTATCTACTGGTGTGTGTAGAAAGTTTAAATTAGCTGCAAGAAATTTTATCTAGACATGCACCTGCCTAGTGCTGTGATCTGGTATTTACTGGGCAGATTAATTACAAACATTTCTTCTGTTCCTTTAAATATGATCAGGCAGATGCAGAAGTTGGTGTTCAGAGTGAATACACTTCTTCTGAATGCCTACAGGATATAAAAGATGATTATTATTAATCAAGAATTAGCTTCCAAATTAACATGCATCGCATAGATGAGATACGAAATGATTTAAACACCCATTCATCATGTGATTTCATACCTACTTTAGATACTGGTAATCTCTCATTTGCTTATTTTTGAGCCTTCTAAGCAAGATTCACCTTCAGAAATAATTGTCAATATGACTACTCTGACATAGCACTCCTCACTTTATGTGAATATGGATTTTGACATACTTCTGAGAGTGTTCTAAAACTCCAACAGGGCCTATCAAAAACTCCAAAATTTACATGCCTTTTGTCTATAAGCCTTAAGGGCCTTGCAGCAGGTGTTTCCTCCAACAGCTGCCCCCACCCCCAAAAGACAGTATTTACTGACATTCCTATTCACAGTGTGTCCCTCTGGGGACTCCTAGTGGTGGTAGAAGTTTTTGTCTATTTGGCCTTATGACCTTGTGTGAAAGGAAGCCTTTAAAGAAAGCTGTCTTTGGCAACTGATGGCATATATTCCCATAGGGCACATGGACCCTATGGTATTTCACTCCTGAAATACCCCTTTCCTTGATTACATTGGTAGTTATGAAGTAAAGCATGATGGGCTGCTATTCTTGAGAGTCTATATATATATTCTTCTTTTTATTTTTTCCAATTTTATTTTATTGTTTAAAGTATTACAGTTGCCGAAACCGGTTTGGCTCAGTGGATAGAGCGTCGGCCTGCGGACTGAGAGGTCCCAGGTTCGATTCCGGTCAAGGGCATGTACCTGGGTTGCGGGCATATCCCCAGTGGGAGATGTGCGGGAGGCAGCTGATCGATGATTCTCTCTCATCGATGTTTCTAACTCTCTATCTCTCTCCCTTCCTCTCTGTAAGGAATCAATAAAATATATTAAAAAAAAAAAAAAAGTATTACAGTTAGTAGTACATATGTCTCCTCCCCCTCCCCCGCCCCCGCATTGACCTTCCTTATATATATTCTTCTTATCCTATAAGAAGATCGGTTGCCAATTAGACAACTTCCACCAACTCTGGTTTGAACTCCTATAGAAAACTGAATCACTTTAATATCCTTATATGTTATTGATACACAGTTACCAGAACTAATGGTAACACTATAGAAGGAAGGAAGACCCATTTATTAGTTACTCTGGGGGAGGCACTAATTATTTTGTACCATACCACAGGTAAATGTTATCAGTCCCATTTTATAATTCAAGTTTAGTGGAAGAAAGTTTCTTGTTTAAGGCCACACAGCTAAATAGGTAACAGAGCTGGTGCTGGACATTTAATCCAAACCCTGTTCTCTATGACAATGCCAGTGCCTGTAAAGATGTTTCATCAGCTGACCATGGCTGCTAGGAAAATTGTGTTGAGAAAGATTCTGAGGCCAAATTCAGGATCCAGCAAAAATAAATGCTTTGATCAATGTGAGGTATGTTGTGGCACAAGAGTAGGGAGTGGCACTATGTTATCTCTACACTGCCATACTGTTCTAGAGAGGAATATCTCAGAACACAAATAAAAAGCAACCCAGTGATGCAGTTTATGAGCAGCATTTTGACAGGATTCATTGTTCATACAGTTATTCTTTCTGACACATTTTGGATTGCTCCTTCACCGGTCCGCTTCTGCCTAATGAATAAAGTCTGAACTCAGTAGCCTGGCGGTCACAACTGTCAATGATGGGGCTGGACTCTACCGTTCAATTATTCTGCTTTTCTGCCTTTTTGTTCACATTTTCTCTGCCTACTATGTTTACACAGCCTGTTAAAATTAATAATTTTTTATTTTTCAAATGCCAAATTCCTAGTAAAGTGCAAAGTTTCCATTACTAGGGTCTGGCTGGCCCTCTGTCAGCCATAATGTAGAAAGGAATAACTAGAACTGACTTTAAAATCATGAACCCTTACAAGCGACCTCATTAAACCACCCTGAGAGGATCTGTCTGTTGTTTATTACTATACCACTGCTTATTCTTCATTTGGTACTTGGAGAAGAATGTTTATACTTCTCAGTCTGAAGAGGAAGGAACTTCTGTCAACTCTTTTGCTTTCTATACCCCATGAAAGTGACACATTTAAATGGTCAAAGTCCAGAACACTGGTCCACATGTTACTACTAATAGGACATGCCACTACTCTATACAACACTCTTCCCCGCTATTTTGTTTTCCTTTTACTGTCCAGTCTCAAGTCCAAGGGGTCTTGGTGTTCCTAATTTAATGTTGAAGAGACTAGCCCATTCTACCTCCTACAAAACATATAAGGCAGATGTGTGGTCTTCACTGTTGCAGAAGCACATGGACATGGGAGTCTATTTCAAAGATCCAGCTTTCTTGTCAGGTTCAGGAGAGCACACAGAGTTCCAGATTTAGACTCCTGTGGAAGAAGGGAGGTCCCACTTTTGCCTTAGGCACAATCCATATCAGTGACCCCAAGCTTCTACCAGAGAACCTCTTATATTGGAGATTATCAATTCCTCCAAAAATCAAGTTGATACTTCAATCCTCTTTGGACTCAATCCTATTGTGAATTTGCTGTTGCCCAGAACCCTAAAAAGACAAAGGGTCTGAACTTGTAGTACTATCATAGCTTGCCATATATTATTATTTCATGTGTATAATAACATAAATCTGATATTCTTAGCTTGATTACTAGGTTTCACAAGGTTGACATTATACATGGAGCTGTTTATACTAAGCCTCATACTGCTGTTAATGAAGTGATTTACCCACATTATTTCTAGATAAAGCATCCCAGTGTCCCCTACAACATTATCTCACTAGAGGCCCGGTGCACAAATTCATGCACCAGTAGGGTTCCTCAGCCTGGCCTGTGGGATTAGGCTGAAACCGGCTCTCCAACATCCCCTAAGGGGTCCAGGATTGCAAGAGGGGGCAGGCCAGGCCGCGGGACCTCACTGGTATACGATCGGGCAGGGGAGGGACCACGGGAGGGCTCCAGGGAGTGTCCAGCCTGTCTCAGTCCCAATCTGCTGGACCCCAGCAGCAAGCTAACCTACTGGTTGGAGCATCCGCGCCCTGGTGGTCAGTTCACATCATAGCGAGCAATTGAGCGGCCTTAGCATATCATTAGCATATTACGCTTTGATTGGTTGAATGGATGACCGAACACTTAGCATATTAGGCTTTTATTATATAGGATTATTTTATAAGACTTCATTTTTTTTTAAATCTTTACCTGAGGATATTTTTCCATTGATTTTTAGAGAGAGTGGAAGAGAGGGGGAAAGACAGAAATATCGATGTGAGAGAAACACATTGATTGGTTGCCTCCTATACTTGCCCCTACCCCAACCAGGGCCCAGGCCGGGGAGGAGCCTGCAACTAAGGTATGTGCCCTTGACCGGAATGGAACCTGGGACTCTTCAGTTCGCAGGCCAATGCTCTAACACTGAGCCAAATTGGCTCGGGCAAGGCTTCACTTTTTAAAGGCTCTGGGAGTGAATATGTATGGGGTGGTTCCCCTGACTGAGGGCAGAAGCTGATGTGCAGACAGAGAAGTTGGCCACAATGGCACCACGGATATGATCACTGGTAGAGGTTTCCAAGGCATAGGACAAAATCAGATAGTTTAATGCCTTCCCTTAGTCATGCCAGTTGGGCAGCTATGACAAATGCACAAAAGAGTAATGAGAACACAGAAGAGGGGAATCTGAGGAAGCCTCCTGTAAGGTGAGTTATAAGCAGGTTTTGAAAGATGGGCAAAATTTTGCCTTAACCAGTTTGGCTCAGTGGATAGAGTTTAAGCCTATGGACTGAAGGGTCCCAGGTTCCGATCAGGGCACATACCCAGGTTGTGGGCTCGATACCCAGTGGGGTGTGTGCAGGAGGCAGCTGATCAATGATTCTTTCTCATCATTGATATTTCTATCTCTTCCTCCCTTTCCCTTCCTCTCTGAAATCAATAAAAATATATTTTAAAAAAGTCACTCCTTTAAAAAAAAAAGATGGGCAAAATTTTGACAATGCTGGGGGAAAAGGTATGCCAAATAGAGGAGACAAGAACAATGGTAAAGAAATGAGGAATGTGTCTGGAGAATGGCAAATAATATGGAATGACTGAGGCACAATGACAAATTGGAAAGGCACATTGTGGTCAGATCAGGGAGAGTTTTTAAATTTGCATTTTACGTGACTATGGTAGAGTAATATCTTCTAAAGCATAATTTTTCCAGCAGTAAGACAGGCTATATAGAAAAGGGACCAAAGGGCAGAGAGGCAGGTTACAATGGGGATGATGATAATCTGGAGGATAGGTAATGAAGAAATAAACTAGTGTAGTGGGTATGGAGAAGAGAAGTAAACATTTTTGGAAGTGATGTGACATGGCAGCAGTTTGGATGTGGGAACAAAAAGAGAGACAGAATTTTGAGATTTTGAGCCTTAACATTAGATGAACACAAACCCTAGGAAGGTAGAATAAAGAACAGTTGAGGTTGAAATCAGCATATTTGGGGGACAATGTATAGCAGCTGAGATGTGGATTTATATCAGGAGGAGGATCACAAATAGATTTGGAAATAATATACACTAAGGTAAGAACTATAGTCAAGGAATGGATGAGATCATGAAGAAAGTACCCAAAGAGAAAAGAAAACACAGTCAAAAGAACCCAGGGAAATACCTCAAAAGTAAGTCAAGTTTCATTTCACTGTTACTTCTCTTTGTTGCTTCCCACGGAAAAGGAAGTTACCTGGTTGGTCAAACTTCATTCTTTCAAGTTTTTTGAAAGTACTACTCAAATTAAAGACTCAGAAGAACACCCCTAATATGTAATGATCTTTACTAGATTCAATGACCGCAAAGCTATTCTCAGTTCCTCTGAAGGTCACTAATGAGACTGTCACACACTAAATGTGTTTGTTCACTTGTCCAATGTGTTAACTGTGAATATGTATTTATGATCACCATCTAATAGTTTTCTGTTGGATTTCCATGGATCAGAAATTTTATAAAAGATTTAACCCTATAATAACTACATGTTTGCATGTGTGCACATATGATATCCTTACTGATTAATAGGATCTAAAACCTTTAACCAGTAGTAAAACCCGACATTCACAGATTACTGCAGTACAGTGGGCAAGAGTACTGACTGACACCAAACTACACAGGTTAGTATCCTGCCTGTCTCTTAGGTAATTCTGGAACAAGATACTTAACTTCTTTGTTTCTCAGTTTCTTTACCTATAAAGACAATAACTATATCTACTTCATATAAGTTATTGTGAAGATTAAATGGGATATCTATGAAGAGCTTATACTGATATACTGAAAGTGCTCAATAAATATTAGCTGTTATTATAAGCTATTATTTGTTGTGTACAACAGAATGAACAATTTAATGAATGAAAGTGACATTTACTATATAAAGTGCTTTGCAGATATTTTAAGAAGAAGCTAGTTTGTCAGGAAGCTGATACCAATTATTTGAGATACCATTTCCAAAGAAATGTATTTTCAGAATAGAACAGAATTATTTCATTTTGCATTGTTTCTAAGAGATAGCAGCAACATCGGGTTAGCTTCTAAGAAAATTAATATTGATGCCACCAAGTTTGGGATAATGGTAGTTCTTAATGTGAACCTTCAATTACAGGTATAGTAAACACTAATAACACATCATGACTCATGTTGCTTCTAGCTGGCTAAGTTATAATAAGCTATTTAGAAATATGTCATATTTTACTTGTATTGCTGAATCCACAGGAACTGTTTTAAAGAAAAGGAACAACTAATTAATATGTAATTAATCAATTTAGCATATTTGCAAATTGATAGACCTGTTATAGCTTGTTCAGACAGATGTGCCCTATAACTCACCTGTCAGTATCTAGTTAGATATTTCTACTAAAGGTACTCAATTAAGTGTCCTCTTTATATTTACTTAGATATCCTCTCTCTGAATTAAACTTAGCCTGGTCAGATCAACAGTGTTTTCTTAAAATCAGTCTCTAACTCACAGATTTTGTCAAACTTCCCTCCTTCTGTTTATCAGAACAGATAAAATATAATCAACTAAAGCTCCAAAGCACATGGCCCTATTTTCTTTGTAGACAGACAGTACCAAATTTGCTGTCAATAAAATGTTTCCATCTGAACAAAGCAGTGAAATTTAACAAGATTATACTTAATTAGAAAGGTGAAGCATTACCTCAATTTAAAATGGCCTTCAGGAATTCATAGCTGTCAAGATGACGTAACTCTGTATGAAAGAAAAAAGATTTTTTTTTTCCAGAAAATAATTCAATGCAAGTTGTCACAGTATATGATGCAGAATAAATGCTGAATCAAAATGAAATTAAAATAAAGAGCCCAAAGATAAAGTTTTATTTTACATTATAATTAGCAGCTTTGGGGCTATAAATTCTCATTTCAACTGATTTGCCTGACTCTGTTTCAGAATGTATATTTAAAAATTTAGGATGAAAACTGCCAAGAGATTTATTATTATAATGTATGGTTATGGTTTATTACAATTGTCTTTTGTGCTAGCTTCTATGATTCTTGTCTTGTTCATTAGTGTATAGAAGAGTGCCTGGCTCATAGTAGGTATTCAATAAATGTTGAGTGAATGAGGCATTAAGGAGATAGCAATTTGTAAGTATTTGAAAATATTTTGGTAATTCCTTTAAAAAATTCTTAGAGTGCCCACTTGTTTTTATTCATTCACTGAACAGGCACTGTGGACTTCTATCCGGGCTCTGTAGTAGGCTGCGGGGCTACGATATAGAGATGGCTTTTTTTTGTTTGTGGAGAAGAGCCCAGAAAGAGCCCTGTAACCACACAATCACAATACACAACACTGTAACGTGATACATTTATAAACATTCAGACAGGTGTTGTAGAAGCCTAGAAGATGAAGCAATTTAGCTTGGAGAGTCTCACAGAGAATGTGGCACCTAAAACTGGCCTTAAAGCATGAGCAGAAGTTTACTAGATGGAGAAGAAAGAAAGAGCACCCCAGGTTGAGAGAGAAGCAGTAGAGAGGCCTGGAGTCCCAATTTGTGAATAGCATGAATTAAAATGACTACTTTCCTCCTACGTGAGGTCTGAGCTGAAGGAAAAAAATCACCTAACATTTACTTATTACACAAGTTCTGCTTTAAACTATATAATTAGCTATATAACACTATAAATATCTATTATTACATATGTGTTTAAAATATATAAACCACTTAGAGAATTTAACTAACTTTTTTTTTGAGGAGCTTTTCTGACTACTCTAAGTTAAAATGGGGGAAAAAAGTTCAACTGTCAGGTGACATAAAAGCAATTTCTAATAAATGTGCCAGAATAATTTTTCTCTATCTCAAGAACAGTTAGTCTTCAGTCTGTTCATTACTGTCTTTTTATAGTATTTTTATTTAATAAAACCTATTAAGACTACCATACAAATCTCTTTACTTATGCTTTTATCTTTTAGCTGATCAATTTTTATATTGCTGACATCCCTTCTTCACCATTTGCTCATTTAAAAATTCATAGTATGTGAGCTATGTCTCTGGAGAAAATGTCTATAAAATTTGTTACAGCTGGCAAATGTGTATGAGTCAGTGATAGCACATGACTAAATGCTTCACAGAAAATAAAATTTGTTTCTGTAGTAAGCAGAACTGTTTAAATGTTATTTATTTTTATGTTTCAAAGAAAATATATTGTGAAGTGCTGCATTGATTTAATACGCAACAATGTCTGTGTACACGCTGTAGAAAGAAAATTTATGAAACCTTTGCACAACTCCTTTAATTGAATTTTCCAAATCTCTCACCACACACAAATAATCAATATCTTCTGCAGAGAAAACCAGTCAGAATTATTACAGTCTTTCGTTTCAATTTTGTTGTCATCAGCACATACAGAGCACCTGGATATTTGTAATGTCTGGTAGCAGGTTATTTATACCTCTTAAACACATAATTGCTATTAAATGAATTCAGGTCTATGGTTTAATTTTTTTAAATGATTACTTAAAGATAAAAACTATCATACTTCTAGTATAATATAAATAAATTTAAATTATGGAAAAAATTACTTAAAAAGCTGTGAAAAGTAATAAAGCAGTTTTTCCTTAAATCCTAGACAAATATCAAGTAAGCAGTTGAAACGTATCCCCCAAACAGTGCTAAATAATGTAAAAAAGGGCATTATCATTATTACGAGGAAAGGTATAACCCAGGTACAGCTTACATGACAGCTGAACCCTTACAAAGAGCTGAGGACTACAATTGTACATTCATGGATATTTGTGTGACCAAAACTAATATCTCCATTTTCTACAAATCTTCTGATAAACTTAGAATGTTGAAGCACAAAGGAAATTTTTGTTGTTTCTCCTAAAACTCTTAATGTCTAAACATTAAACTTCAGTGCTTTTAAAACTAAGCATTTGTTCGAAAAAGAATATTCTTTAATTGTTAAGATATAACAGAAAAAAACACCCTTTTAGGAGTAAAATTATTTAGCTGATATAATGAATACTTTTTTCAAGACTGTGTGGGAAAAAGAACAACATATTTTTAAGTTGAAAAATACTTCAGTGGGTGGTTAGAATGAAAAGGAAATATCAAACTATTTTATACTCTTAGAACAGAAAAAGTTTAAAATTTGTCCTGTAGTCCACAAATTTGAAAACTTTAAAATCCTATAACTAAGATGAATTTTACAATGTAAGAGACAGTTAAGTTAGCTAAAGAAAACAGAGACATTATAGTCTGTGCTTTTCTTTTTAAGGCTAGCAATAGAAATGCTGAAATATTTTGTATTACAAACAGCTGAAACAAGCAACTTTTTTGAACAATAGAAAGTTCAGATGGTTAACATTTCATTTAAAATATGCATACTACAACCTACACAATTATTCTCAAAAATAATAAAATATGTTTTGGACTGAAGTTAAGTGTCTAGATTTCATATCTTGGCAACTGCTCTATAATTTGCTTACATTCTTTTCAAAAACATTTTGTTTACTGGAAGTAGTAGACACAGACAAACAATGATGGCATTTTCTAATATCTCCAGAAAAAATGAAAATACTAAGTACTATATAATGCCATCTATTGACTTAGGAATATTTGTATCAAGTTGTTTTAAGTTGAGGATGATTATGTAAAGTAAATTTTATGCCTTACCATGTGATGATAATGTGACATTCCGTCTCTATCAACCCATTGAATGGTCATGTTTTAAATGTTCAGCATAACAAATTAAAAATAATTATGAAAATTCACATCCAAATGTAATAGAAAAAGAACTTTTCATTTCATTATTTTTCTAATAGTAATAAAGCCAATATTATTAAGGAAAGTGAAGTTAGGCTTACTTCCTAAGTAACTTAAAAGAAGCCTTCCTTTGTTTAAGAAATTTGTAGTTAGCAAACTATAAAAAAAACCTAGAGTATATTATACACTCAATCAAGGCATCCCCTGATTTAAAAACTATAAAAATCTCAGTGTACTCTTTTCAATTTTTTTAATAAGTTATATAAAGTTTTAAGAATCGGTGTCAGATGTCTATTTATTTAAAACATTAGTGTTATTTTTACAAGTATACTCCTGTGCGTGTAATAAAGACTGCAACTGATGCTAAACAAGCCAGCAATGAAATTTAAAGAATATACAACTAAGGGACCAATTTGAAGGGTCCACTACAGCATTAGTCTTGGAATTCTCCTGGTATTGTCTACTTTAACTATTCTAGGAAAATTTTATAAGAATCTGAAGGACATTCCTCTTCTTTTTTTAAAATATATTTTTATTGATTTCCGAGAGAACTGGAGAGGGAGAGAGAGATAGAAACATTAAGGATGAAAGAAAATCATTGATCGGCTGCCTCCTGCACATCCCCTACTGGGGATCGAGTCCACAACCCAGGCATGTTCTCTGACCAGAATAGAACCGTGATCTCCTGGTTCATGGGCTGACACTCAACCACTGAGCAACACTGGCCGGGCTGAAGGACATTCTTTTGATAATGAAACAAGTATTTGTTCATTCTCATTTCATAATTACCTAATAAAAGAAATCTAACACATATTACAGGGCTCAATTTTTATATTATATATCTCCTAACTATATACTTTCCAACATTATGAAGATACACAAAACATTTTTAAATTCAGACAATTCTAGGTAACAGCATACCAAAAGAGAAAAGTAGAAATTTCTATAAAATGTTCAAGGCCAGGTCTCCAAATAAGAAACATATAAACAAACTAGTTTGAGATATTGGACAAAACTAACAAAGTCCTCTTAAAATGAATGTATGAATAGAAAGAGTTTAAAGTTATTAGCTTAGCATAAAATTCACATATATATGTGCTTGTCTTGCTGCACATCAACTTTAACCAAAAAATAAAACAAAACAGAATATGCCACCAAAATAAAAATCCTATATAATAAAAGCCCAATATGCAAATTGTCCCCTTGGGTGGTCATTTGACCAGGAGCCTGGGAGTTTGACTGCTCGCTATGACATGCGCTGACCACCAGGAGGTGGTGTGGAACGTGACAGGTGTTGGTGACGCACTGCGACTTCTTGTCAGCTACCTGGGGGCAGGTGTGATGGGGATGGAGGTGCAGTGAGAATGCAGGGTATCCGCCAAGCTCGTTCTCACTCCCCTTGCTACCTTCCCCTGGGATGCCAGGGCTCATGTGCTGGGGAAGCCCCTGTGCTCAGGTGCTGGGAGCCCGCGAGGAGCCCGCCCCACATCCACGCGGCCTCTTCCAGGTGAGCTGGGCAGCAGCCACCAGGACCACAGGGGCCGGGTCAGGTTCCCCGTGCGTTTATGCAGGAGCTGGTCGGTGAGGCTGGCTGGGAGAGAGCATGCTGCCCACCCAGCTTCTGTGCGGTGCTGCTGGGCGACCCAGAGGCCCACAGTATGCCCTGGCCTGCAGTGTCCGGCCATGCTCACCGCCATCTCTGTGTGGGGACTCGGGTACCATGCCTCAGGTGTAAGGGGGCTCACAGGGGCCTGGGGGCCCAGAGGTCAACTGGGACCTGCCCTTCCATGCCAGATGCTAGCGCTTTGATTGCCGACCATGCCTAGGGACTACACCCATTCACCGATTTTGTGCACTAGGCCTCTAGCATACACATAATACTAGGAACCACATAAAGAGAAAAAAAGAAAAGCACCCAGTAAAAACATATAGCTCAGCCCTGGCCAGTTAGCTCAGTTGGTTAGAGCGTCATCCCAATATGCCATGGTTGTGGGTTTGATCCCTGGTCAGGGCACATACAAGAATCAACCAATAAATGCATAAGTAAATAGAATCACAAATAGATGTTCTCTCTCTCCCCCGCCTTCCTCTCTAAAATAAATTAATTAAAAATATATTTCAAACTCAAATTATAAAGACAGACTTCAGACTTATTTTTCAGGCATTACTTCAAAATAGTTAAAGAGTTACTGAAGGTTTGAATACCTTAGGAAATATAAGGAGCTAGTGTAGTTCTTGCCAAGAAACTGAAATGGAAGATGACATATATTCTAGTATATACAATATATATTAAAATATAATGTAAGTTATGTACATACTAACTCAATTTTCATTTAAACCACAACAAAAAAATCAATGCTTATTAGAAATTTAAAAACACGATTTAATGATACAATCCTCTCTATGCATGAAGAAATACTTAGTCCTTAGGGAAAACTTGGTAATGGCTAAATCAGTTTTAATGCCTAAAATATTAGAAAACAGATTTAAGACCGATCATGCATAAACACACAAAGAATCAGTATATACTGGATAACTGAAAGGCAAGAATTGTTTAACACATGGAAATAACTTTAATGTCTTAATAAATGTTTAGGGAAGGAAACAATTCTTTTGGAAAATTTTCTCCATTAATTATCAGCAGTGAAAATTCACTTATTTATTCTATAATTTGCCCTACCTCATTTTTCCAAAACTGTTGGCTAAAGCCAAGTATGTAAAGCCTAATTCTAATTAGTCCCAGGAAATCACAGATTTAAAAGAAAATCACACAATTGGCATAGGATATATAGAGTCAAGATTTCTTCTAACTGGGAAATAATAAATGTTCCAATTTCCTATTATAATTCTCTAAAACTTGTCACGTTTAGAGAGAATGAAACCACTGAAACCCATATATCAAGTTCGCCAGGCAGGAGAAAAGAAATCTCAAGCCTTTTAAGAAAAGGGCTACCATCATGCTCTTAAATGCTTGGGATCACAATGAAGTTAGCTGCTCAACTGAATAGCTCAGGAAGCCTGCTCAGCTCCCTTCCCACAGGGGTTCTGGAGGAGGGGTTCTGCTGGCCTGCTGTGACTTAGCTGGAACCCACCAGCAGGGAATCCTAGTGCTTTCCACTGCAAAGTCATCACCAGCTGTTAAAGATCCTAAAACAGTCTAACAGAATAGATTGGCTGAACCAGTTTCAATTATGCTTCATGTCTGAATCTGAAAGCTGGGATGACTGAATGATTTGATTTGTTTTAGGAAGAGGCAATATGGAATAATGAAAAGATCATACTTTCTGAGATCAGACTGGTCTTTAGTTGGAATCCTTTCGCTGACACTTAAGTAGCAGTGTTTGGACAGGTTACTTAACATTTTCTGTGACCTTGTTCCTTATCTGTAATGGCAATAATAGCAGCTATCTTACAGAGCTGCTGTGAGGATAATAATCATAATAATTATTGGTCCTCAAAAGTCATCATTGGTACTCAAAAATGATAGATTAAAACATGGCCTACCCACGCATTTCAAGGCCTACCTCTAGTTTTTAGTAGAGATTGCTAAATGGCATTCATGTCAGTGATATTAAAATGATGCCTCTTAAGCTGGTTAAAAGGTTTTAATATTTAACAGCCCATGATTATTTTGCTTACTGAGGTTGGATGTGCATGTGTTATGGGAACTTAAAACCTGCTAATTTAATTACTCATACTGTTAATGCTCAGAAGCATAAGAGTTAACAGTAGATTCAACATCATTAATGATCTGAAAGTTTTCAGAACACTGGTTACAAAGTAACTTTATACTTTGCGTCTCCTTCTAATTCACCATTAAAACCTGCTATATATTAATGCATTGTTGCCCCATTTATCTGGATTCTCAAAACAGAACTTTTAATAAAACTACAAATCTTAAACTGAAACTTATATTTCAAAAGATATTTAAAAAGTTCAGTCATCAGTGAAGTTGAGCTCTTCAGACCTGGTCTTCTGCTAAATGCAATATAAAATTTTTCAAAGAAGATTCCTGGTCTTTTAAGAGTACACTAAAAGACTCATAATGATTGTTTTTAAATGGTAAAATGAGATGAAAGGATTATTTTTATATAATAAATTAAAATACAACTTTTTACCTTTGTTAGAAAGTTCTGAACTCTTCTTTTCAAACAGTTTTTGTTTTATTACTTTTGTCACTAGAAGGAAAAAAATGTTAAGAATTAACATGGTACATGAATAATTTCTCATGTTGGAATAAACTTCATGAAAAAAAAATTCAAAGTGATACATATGCATAGGTAGCAAACACAAAATGCAGTACTTGCTGAAACCGGTTTGGCTCAGTGGATAGAGCGTCGGCCTGCAGACTGAAAGGTCCCAGGTTCGATTCCGGTCAAGGGCATGTACCTGGGTTGCGGGCATATCCCCAGCGGGGGATGTGCAGGAGGCAGCTGATCGATGTTTCTCTCTCATCGATGTTTCTAACTCTCTATCTCTCTCCCTTCCTCTCTGTAAAAAATCAATAAAATATATTTTAAAAAAAAATGCAGTACTTTATCATACTACAGTAGGCTCTTGGGTTACGTTGGAGATCCGTTCCTACGGCGCGACGTAATGTGATTGTCGCCGTAAGTCGGAACCCACCTTCATAAGCACCTATGTCCCTCACATGGAGCACATACACAGCAGTAATGAAGTCTAACAGTAAAAAAATTTTAAAAAAGGATAACAATTCCTGACCTTTACTTGTGGGAAATAAATAATAAAAAAAACATAAAGTACATATGTACATACGTTGAAATGACGGAACTTTTTTTTTTTTTTATAAATAAATGGGAGATGGCGACGTTACCACAAAACGACAGAGTCCCACGTAACCAGAGGACTGTCTGTATATTTAAAGAATGAGCACCACATAAAAAAACTCCAATTACAGTTTTGAAGGGACATTCTTTCCCTTTACATTAAAGAGGAATCCCTGAAGTAACATATCCTGGGGTAAAAGATATGTGGCTTCTTATTCTTTAAATACTATTTCTATCACATTTCCAGCAGTGATATATATAAAGAAGTCTATCAATGAGCGGATAAAAAAGCTGTGGTACATTTATACCATGGAATACTATGCAGTGGTAAAAAAGAAGAACCTTTGAGACAGCATGGAGGAACCGTAAGTGCAATAAGCCAGTCAGAGAAAGTCAAGTATCACATGATCTCACTCATATGTGAAATCTAATTAACAAAATAAACTGCTGAACGGAGTGGATCCAGAGACATGGAAGCATGGACCAGAGTGTGGAATCTCAGATGGAAGGTGGGAGAGGATGGGTAGGTGGGAGGTGATCAACCAAAGAACTTGCATGTACATATGTATAACCTATGGACACAGAAAATAGGGTGGTGAAAGCCTGGGGTGGGGGTGGGCTAGAGGAGGCCAATAGGGGTAAAAGGGGAATATATATATATGTAATACTTTCAAAAATAAAGATGAAAAAAAAAGAATGTTGGAAAAAAAATAAAGAAGTCTTTTAAATTTGGGAAAATTAATAGGCTTATCTCTAAATAGGCTTTATGGCTAAAGTTGAAAATATTAATCTAAGCTTACAAACAAGGAATGGAGAGACACCATTGTAAACTCATAGTCTTCTTACTTAGTTCTTTCGTTTTCTTCATTTCTCTTTTTAAGAAACATGGTCCATAAGAGATGCCAATGAGATTCTGAAGCTTTCTACTGTCCTTCAAAGCCTAAAAGAAAGTCATTTTAAATGAGTTAAGTAAGTTCTATTCAAATATAGTATTACTGACAACTCTAATGAAAATATTATTTCCTTCATCTGAAAAACTTAAACTCTATGGTAGGAAATTTTCTGGTAGGTCAACTATTGTGAGTCTTAAAATGCTTGCATAAAAATAATTTATTAATTAAAAAGACTAAACATAATCTACAAATTTACTTTTACATGTGAAAAAGATAGGTATTACTAAAATGTTATAGTTTATTAATGTTCATAAAAGAAAAGAAACTGCCATGAAAAGTAAATTAAACATATCCCCTGCAAACTCTTTCCTGAATGGGATTCTCCAATCTGGGGCTTTTCTCCTATTCTCTGTTTTCAAATGGGATAGAATTATGAAATAGTATATGCCAAATGTGCCAATATATTGGACAATCTGGACTAAGTGCAAAATTCCTAGAAACATACACTTTTCCAAAACTGAAACAGGAGGAATTAGAGAATCTATATAGACAGGTTACAACTAGTGAAACCGAAGCAGTCATCACCAATCTGTATTCCCATCAAAAGTTAAAAAACAAACCAACAACAACAACAACAAAACACTACAAAGAAAGAAAATTATAGGCCACTATTCCTGATGAACATAGAAGATAAAATCCTCTACAAAACATTAGTAAACTGGATCCAGCAATACATTAAAAAGTGCATACACCATAATCAAATGGGATTTATTTCTGGGATGCAAGGTTGGTTCAATATCTACAAATCAATAAATGTGATACATCACATAAACAAAATGAAGGATAAAAATCACATGATCATATCATATCAATAGAGTAAAAAAAAAGCATTTGATAAAATCTAGCATCCATTTATGATAAAAACTCTCAACAAAGTGGGAACAGAGGGAACACATACCTCATCATAATAAAGGCAACATGACAAACCAACAGCCAACATCATATTCAATGGGCAAAAACTAAAAGCATTTCCCTTAAGATGGGGAACAAGACAGGGATGTCCTCTTTCATCACTCTATTCAACATAGTACTGGAAATCCTAGCCACAGCAGTCAGACAAGAAGAAGAAATAAAAGAAGGAAGAAGTAAACTGTCATTATTCACAGAGGACATAATACTGTATGTGGGGAACCCTAAAGATTCCACCAAAATACTACTGGAATGAGAAATGAATTCAGTCAAGTAGCAGAATATAAAGTAAATATCCAAAAATCAATTGCATTTCTATACACCAATAATGAACTATCAGAAAAGGAAACTAAGAAAACAATCCCATTTACAATTGCATCAAAAAATATATAATATGCCAAAAAAAGCGCAAACCTGAGTGATACTTAAACTTTGCGTTATTTCCATGATTTCCTCTGATGATTTCTCAACTTTAGATAGCAACACCATTAATCTATGAATAAAGAAAAATATTGTATTTAGCAAGAAGATCAAGCATTTAAACACAAGTCATTTTCAGAGCTTTAATTCTTTTTTGAAAAAGGATTTTACATTCAGTTTCCTATTCATTTTCTTTACATTTTTTCAAAGTGGTTAGAGATGTAAATGCTTCTCCTCCATTCTTTCATTCCTTTACAAGACAATCTATATTATCAACCATCCTGTCTTTTAGAGTTTTGCTATTCCTCATTCCCACTGAGTAGGAGAAAAGATTGTAGACCTAAGAAATGTCTAAACTTGTAGAGAATTTTTATTAAGCGTTTATTTGAGCCACACTGGCAATATGTTGGGAAGCCTGATCTCAAATGCTCCCGGAGAATGACAGTTTTGTTGTTTCTTTTACACATTTGGAATTAAGGAGGGAACATGAAAAAGATTACATAAAGGTGGGAGAAAAGTATAGGATAGTTAACAAGATTATGTGCTCCCTTTTGGGTGGGTAAACTTTCAAGGGGTCTGGAAAAGAGGACTGTTCCACAGCTCAAAGGTGTGTTAACCTAGATACACAAAAATAGTAGACTGGGCTGGATTAAAAATCTTTTACTAGAGAAGTTACAGTCCTGGGGCATGATAACCCACTATGACCTGCCCAGTTAGGAATTTATGATCAGATCAACCTGTAAGGTTACTTTCAGTCAGACTTATTACAGAGCCCCTTTTTCGTCTACAAGATGTAGTTGGCTTATTCCATTCTCCACTATACCAGTTTGAGAACACGAATAGACCATCATCTCCTTATTTACCTAAATCTAAGCCTATGAATCAGTGTTACAAGGTGATTTTTTTAAAATAAAAAAGTTTTATGGCTTTAATATATTCCAGTGTGAAAAAGATACAAAGGCACTCTCAAAAAAAACTTCACTTGTAATCATACTTCTCAAACATATCTCTAGTTAGCATTTTAACATTCTGGAACAATCCTTAGTTTTGTTTTGTTTTTAAAACATTTCTATAACTTTATATCATACTTCCTTTCTTTATAAAACATTACATATATATAATTTTGGGCACATCATCCATGGCTATAATTTTGAAGGCTATAATTTGGGGTCATTTACAGTTTTTTTTAATTGAAATATATTTGACATGTGTAAATTTAAAGTATACAACATGTTAATTTGATAGATTTATATGTTTTAACTAGAGACCAGGTACAAGGATTTGTGAACTGGTGGGGGTCCCTAGGCCTGGCCTGCGGGTATCGACTGAAACCAGCAGTCGTACAGCCCCTGAGGGATGTAGTAGTGCCAAAGCGGCAGGCAGCCAGGGAGGAGCTTGAGCCTGGGCTGGAGCTGCACTGCACCGCTCCTGCTCATCCCAGTCCTGCTGCGAGGAGTGCTGCCAACACTCGGTAGGCTCGCTGCCGCTCCGCTGCAGTCTCTGCGCCCATCCTAGGGCAATACTGGCAGGCCCACGACCAAGAAGTGGCTGCGGGCTCATGCCCAGTCAGTCCCGATGTGGGTCCCAGTCTGGATGGGGGAGGGGTGCACAGGGGGAGTCTCCACGGGATAGGCTTGGGCCACCGCAGCTGTGCTCGCCAGCCATGAGCCCAGCGTCTGGCACCTGATAGCTGAGCAGCGCTCTCACAGTGGGAGTGTACTGGCCATCAGGAGGCAGCTCCTGCGTTGAGCATCTGCCTCCTGGTGGTCAGTGCATGTCATAGCTACTGGACGACCAGTTGGTCAACCAGTTACTTAGGCTTTTATATATGTAGATAAGATTGCCATTGTAGTGATAATTAGCACCTCTATCATCCAATAAAAGCCTAATATGCTAAGTGTCCAGTTGTCCAGTTAGCCGTTCAACCAATCAAAGTGTAATAAGCTAATGATATGCTAAAGCTGCTCAACCGCTCGCTATGACGTGCACTGACCACCAGGGGGCGGACAGTCGAACAGTCAACCAGTCACTATGATGTGCACTGACCACCAGGGGACAGATGCTCTGACTGGTAGGTTAGCTTGCTGCTGGGGTCTGGCCGATGGGGACTGAGCAAGATGGGCTGGACATGCTCTGGAGCCCTCCCACGGCCCGGCTGGCCAACCTCCCACATCCCACCCAGGCCCCAATCATGCACCGGTGGGGTCCCTTGGCCTGACCTGCGCCCTCTCGCAATCCGGGACCCCTCAGGAGATGTCAGAGAGCCGGTTTTGGCCCGATCCCGCAGGCCAGGCTGATGGACCCCACTGGTGCACGAATTTGTGCACTGGGCCTCCAGTGTTACATAATTATCATTTTTTCTTAGTGATTGGAATAATTAAGCTCTAGACTTAGCACGTTTGAAGATTATGTTAACAAATATTGTTGCCTATATTCACTATGCATTTAGGACTTATTTGTTATTTGTCTCAAGTTTCGGACCCTTAGACAACATCTACTCTATCCCCCATGCTCCATCCCCTGGCAACCAATATTTTATTCTGTCCTTTTGAGTGATTTTTTTTAAGATTCTACATACAGACAGTCCTCGGGTTACGTCGGACTCGACATATGTCGTTTCGTGGTTACGTCACCATCTCCCATTTATTTATAAAAAAAAAAAGTTCCTTCATTTTGACGTATGTACATATATGTGCTTTATGTTTTTTATTATTTATTTACCACAAGTAAAGGTCAGGAATTGTTATCTTTCTTTTAGATTTTTTTTTTACTGTTTCACTTCATTACTGCTGTGTATGTGCTCCATGTCAGTGACATAGGTGCTTATGTAGGTGGGTTCCGAATTACGGCAAAAATCATGTTATGTTGCGCCATAGGAACAGATCTCCAATGTAACCCGAGGACCTACTGTATAAGTAATATCATACAGTATTTGTCTTTCTCCACCTGACTTATGCCACATAGCATAATGTCTTTGATCTCTACCCATATAGTTTCATATGACTTTGAGGACAGGCTTTTCCATTTTTGGAAAAAACGATGGAATTTGATAGTGATTATAATAAATCTGTAGATTCATATTGGGTGGAGGTAGTAACATCTATTTTTTTTTTAATATTTTTATTGATTTCAGAGAGGGAAGGGGAGGGAGAGAGAGAGAGAGAGAGAGAAACATCAATGATGAGAATCATTGATTGGCTGGCTCCTGCATGCTCCCTCCTGGGGATCAAGCCTGGGCATGTGCCCTGACCAGGAATTGTACCATGACCTCTTGGTTCATAGTTTGACACTCAACCACGGAGCCACGCTGGCAGGGCATAACATCTTAATGATATTAAATGTTCCTACCCACGAACACAAAATGTCTTTCCATTTGTTTAGATCTTCTGTAATTACTCTCAGCAATGCTTTATAATTTCAAGTGTATAAGTCTTTCATCTCTTTAGCTACATTTATTCTTAGGTATTTTATTCTCTTAGGTGCTATATAAATGGAATTGCTTCTTTAATTTCTTTTTCAAACTGTTCTGCATATACACTGAAATACAACTGACTTTTGTGTGTTGATCTCATACCCTGTAATTTTGCTGAGTTTATTATATCTAGTATCTTCTTGTGAATTCTTTGGGATGACCTATATATAGGATCATGCCCTTTGCAAATAGAGTTTTATTTCTTCCTTTCCAATTGCTACTTGAAAGCTCACTGATATAGGACCTATTCTCTCTCTCTCTCTCTTTTTTTTTGCTTTAAAACTTGAAATTTATTTCAGTTTTGGTGCAATGATACAAAATTACATCAAGTGGCATTCATAAAAGCTCAGTAAAACATTAGGTACTAAAAAATACTTATTAGACCAAATAAGCTTTAAAAAAATTAGTTAAGTTACAAAAGCCGAAAATATAAAAAAATGCAAAAACAGTGGCAATCTACTAATTGTGTAAACAAAAAAGAAGGGAAACAATGTCAACAATCAATCATTTATCTAACACGGTGGATTTCTGAATTAAAGGAATATCTATCAGAGTGTGAGGAGGCTGGTTGTGTTGGCAGCTTGAAACTACTAAGCTCAGACATGACCCCTTAACAGAGGAGTTTCTAACTTGGGATATTTAGGAAATTCACATGTGGCTTGTGGAACTAGCTGAGTTGAAATTCAGTCTTGGCACTGGATATACAGTTAAATTAAACCTGAAAATCTCTTCCCAGGGTCCTTACTTAAGCAAGACCATGCCAAACACAACCTTCCTTGCAAGAGTTTTCAGCAAATAGCTGTGCATAGGAGCTATTCTGAAAAAATGTGAGCTGTAAGTAAATTGCTAGGTTCAGAAAAAGAAAGAAGAAAAAAAACCTACAAAAAGTTAGATTAAGTGGAGCTGTTTTAGGGGGAAAGCAGCAGGTAATTGTGGCTTGCTTACATGGTATCACTCTTGTCCAAAAACATTTCCTCCTTCATTGCCTCTTCTCACTTCTAAGTTTGTTATACTTTATACTATTGTATTAGATAGTCATTTGGTTTAGCAGTTAATTGCTTTCAAATACAAGATTATATATGATTCAGAAAGTCTTAATTGCCATCGGCTTTCACTGTATGTCCTTTAGTACAAATTGAGATTTTAAAAAAAAATACAAGTGGTTTTTAAAAATGGATTTCTAGACAGGTAAGAAGGGAGAGGGAGAGAGAGATAGAAACATTAATGAGAGAGAAATATCAACATCAAACGGCTGCATCCTGCACGCCCCCCACTGGGCATCAAGCCTACAACCCAGACATGTGTCCTAAGAATCAAACCGGTGACCTCTTGGTGCATGGGTGGATGCTAAACCACTGGGCAAAACTGGCTGCGCCTGAGGTTGTTTTTTTTACTCTGTACCTATATTGTTTATTTTTAAATATAGTAAGTTAAAAAATGCTTTTCTCATAATATCTAGTTGAGATAGATTTCACTGAGGAAATGGGAACTTTAATTAGGGTAAGGAAAGATTAGTAATTTACAACAAAAATGTTTTGGGATAGGGCACATGGAAATATTTGGAGTTGGGGGGAACATGGCTAGGGAAAGCAAATAAAGGGGTACAATGATAAATGTAGGAGATGCCAAACAAGGGGACTTCTTTGAGAACTTCTTCCCTGCATCACTTTTGTACTCTAAATGGCACTCACTTTCTGTTTTTTTAAAGCAGTTTAGCTACATTATGTAAAAAAATTGACTTGTGACCCTGACCTGGGGGTATAACTACAAATTACAACACTATTTATATGAAAAATTCATTCTGAGTTCCACTAAATGATTTAAAAACATTTTGAAACATTACCCACAACCCATTTCTAAGATGAGGAAGGTATCCTATATAATAAAGAGCTAATATGCTAATTAGACTGGACGGTGGAATGACCTTCCGGAATGACCAGTGGGTGGGGGATGGGGCCACAAGGCAGCTGGGGCCGTGAGGGCTGAGGCAGCCGGGGCTGTGAAGGCCTACTCTTGCACGATTTTCATGCATCAGGCCTCTAGTATTAACCATCATCTCACAATGGGTAGAAACTTCATTTTTCTCATATCTATCCACCCACCATATTATGTGGCACACAGAAGATACAGCTAAAAGGGTAAATGAGCTGAACATATGAACTACTACTTTGAAAATTTAATCCCTGTTCTTAATTCAATTTTTCTAGCCTCAGTGAACAAATATTCTTTCCCAAATACATAAGCAGTAGCTTTCTGCAGATAATGACTTCATCCAAGGCACCATTGGCAGTCCAATATGAGTATGGTTGGTTGCTGGCATGTTGCCTTCTAGGTTCCTCTAGATCCCTTACTCTGCTGGCTTCACTGTATTCTTAGCTCTTAAACCAGCTATTTGGTAGGCATTGTGTTCCCAGACAACATAAATCTATAAGTCTGATTTATGTAAATCTGAAAAGAGTGTGTTCCTCAGTTTTACCTTAAGCTGGTCTCTTATATATAGGCTGGGAAAACTGGGCTCAATGAGTATTAAAATTAAGGTATCACATATCACCATCATATGAACATTGTAAAACACATCACAAATAAAGTATTTTACTTCTTTAAGAAAGAATACTTCAACTCAGGTATAACTATTTATTAATGTCTGCAAAGAAATAATTTCTCTTAAATTATCACTAACAAATATGATCCTTTTCTTTCAAGACGTGTATATTATTTCAAAAATAAACTTACTCATCATCTTTTGTCGTAGATTTATTTCTCTGGGTTAAACTGAGATGATTCAATTTTTTTTTCTTTCCTATACATGTACAATAAAAAGAAGAACATAAGGGGAAAATTGTCAAATTTTAAATAAAATTTTGATCACCAAATTTTAAATAAAACGGTAGACAAAAGAAAGTAGGAAAAGAAAAAGTATCCTGAAATTTGCTATGAGAAAAAAATTAACTATTATGGATAACTTCCCAATAACTATTTTATGTTTTTCATTTTTTATTATTCTATTTTTTATCCATGATGACATTATACAGAGAAAAACAATTGTTTGAAAAAAATGTCCACTGGGGCTTAGTATATTGAAGAGAAAACTAGAAAAACTAAGTTATCCTTCATATGTGTGCAGGGTTAAATTATGTTTGATTTCATAGCTCTAGTATAACATGATGTTTACACTTATTAGAGGTCAAGTAAATGATTGTTTAATGAGCTAACCATTTAGTTGTTTGTTCTATAGTACTTTATAGTACAATATACACTACATATTTTAAAAATACTTGATGTATAACAAGTATTTGAGGAAACATTAGCATAAATATTCTCAGTGTCTTACATATGTGGCCTTTGATAAATGTTTATTGAATGAATAAACAAGCAAATTAATGAATAATCCAAACTCTTTACTTCTAAGGACAAACAGAAGAGTGAAATCATTTTCTAAATGTATAAATGATGACACCCCCCCCCACACTACTACATATTTTTATATAGTTCTATTTGTTCAATAATTGGCACAGGAACTATTATTTACTCAATGTTTTCATTATTTTTCTAAAAATTTGTTTGATACAATGTATGGTGAAAAACTATCTGACTCGCCAACAGAAATATAATGTGTCACTTAATGTAATTTAAAATCTAAAAATTTTTAAAAAGGAAAAATAGGTGAAATAAATTTTAATATTCCACTTAACCCAATATACCCAAAATATAATTTTAACATAGAATATAAAATGATTAGAGGTAATTATTAATATTTTTTTCTCACACTAAATCTTTGATATGTGGTGTGTACTTTACACTTATGCACATCTCAATTCAGATGAGCTACATTCTAAATGCTCTATATCTACATGTACTGAACAGTATAGCTGTAGGCAAACACTGTTGAAGGATCCAATACTTCCCAATGAAATCAAATATACAGATAAAGTGAAGCAATTTTTAAAAATTTTCAAATGTAATTTATTAACATATTAAGAAATATATTGTCTGGAACAGACTTTCCAGTACTGGTTTATATTTTTTCTTCATTTAATTTTTATTTCATTAATCTTACTTGCTCCTATTACTAGGGGGAAACGTTTTAAAATATATTTTCTGTGCTCTGGTATTTATAATTTTATTGAGTAAGGTCATTCAGAAACTGATTAATAATAATTTCCACATTTGTTACTTTGAATGTATGCTTTCTCTCAAAAAATTATATCGTAACTAAGTTGTCATTTCAAAATAGACTTTAATGCCAAAAAATAAAACTTATGATTTAGAAATTTTGCTAAAGTACTAATTACCTCCTTTGTTAACTTTTCATTATATGACTTGTCTGTATCCTTAAATTCCAAACAGAATAAATTAATATGGTTAAGAGTTTATTTAATGAAAGATGGAAGGGTAAAAAGGTAACATTTATGATTTTGGAAAACTTTGAGGAAATAAGTCTATTAAAATCTGTCTCTCTAAAGAAAAAATTAAGCTGGAAATGTATGTTTTGTAGAAAATCACTTGTATCAAGTGAAAATCCATGATACATATTAAACTTTATTTAGAAAATTAATATTAACTAATTTCCTGAATTTTGTACTGTGCTGTCTACATTCAATAAAGCTCCCCAATTAAATATTAAAATTAATCTGTTCTTGCCCTGGCCAGGTAGCTCAGTTGGTTAGAGCTTTGTTCCTATATACCAAGGTTGCGGGTTCAACCCCTGATCAGGACACATATAAGAATCAGCTAATGAATGCATAAATAAGTAGAACAACAAATAGATGTTTCTCTCTCTCTCTCTCTCTCTCTCTCTCTCTCTCTCTCTCTCTCGCTCTCGCTCTCGCTCTCGCTCTCCTTTCCAATGTCTTTCTAAAATCAATAAGTACAAATTTTAAAAAAATCCTGGCCAGTGTGATTCAGTTGGTTGAGCATCATCCCATGCACCAAATGGTCACTGGTTGGATTCCTGGTCAGGGCACATGTCCAAGTTTCAGGCTCCAACCCCAGTAAGGGGTGTGCAGGAGGCAGCCAATGGATGTTTCTTTCTCTCATCTATGTTTTGTTGTTTTTTTCTCTCTCTCCCTCCCTCTCTCACTCTCTTTCCTTTCCTCTCTTTCTAAAAGAAAAATAAACAAAGCACACACACACACACACAAACAACCCTCAATAAAAACATATTTAAAAAAATAAATAAATTATTCTGTCCTTTTAACTTGTAATTAATTTTCACATTTTAGCACCAGTCAGTAATGTTAGGTGAGAAATAGTAAAAGAATGCATTATTTAAGTTTTCACCAGTTGTTCAATACCTTTCTAAACATTTTTATTATTGTAAGAGGATCAATCAAATCTCATCCTATAAAATGTAATCAACAGCATTAATCTTAATCTTGTCATGGAAGGGCTTATGTTTATTATATATATTTCCAATTGTTAAATAGGAGGAGTATTAATGTCACAAAGACTTGAATAGACTCTAATACATTACAGTGGTTCTCAACGTTGGCTGTTTCTTTGTTATGGGGTAGGGCCACAACATTAGTAACGAAGAAACAGAATTTCTGGAGGATGAGGCCCAGAAATTAGGATTTTAAAGAGATTCCCAGGTGATTCTAATGTGCAGCCGACGTTGAGAACCACTGCTCTAATGTCATTAAGAGTCTTCTAGTTACTTAATAATTACTTTCCTTTATTTCATTCCATTCTGTTAGCAATGACCATATGCTAAAGAGCTGTGGATTCTATATGGTCTTTTTCTTGCTAGGTAATAAACAGTTATATCACCAGTATATTACCTGTGTACTTGATTTCCTTTAAATGTAACTTTGCAAAACACTGGTAATAAACATGCCATCACTAAATCTGGATTCCATTCAAAATTGTATTTGGACTTTCCAGTAAGGCTCTAGGGAGCCTTTTCACTAACTAATGAAGATAGCTTTCAACAGATCATAACATTTAGAAATACAACCAATGATGATGATGATAATGGCTAATATATAATACTAGAGGCCCGGTGCACAAAAATTTGTGCACTCCGGGGGGACGGGGGGGGGTGGGGGGGTCCCTCAGCCCGGCCTGTGCCCTCTCGCAGTCTGGGACCCCTCGGGAGATAACGACTTGCTGGCTTAGGCCTGCTCCCGGGTGGCAGAGGGCAGGCCCAATCCCTAGGTGCAGCCCCCGGTTGGGCTCAGAGCAGGGCCGACTGGGGAGTTGGGGCACCGCCCCATGTCATGCACAGAGCAGGGCAGATCTGGAGGTTGCGATGCCACCCTCAGTCACGCTCAGGGTAGGGCCGATTGGGGGGTTGGGGCACCACCCCCTGTCACGCACAGAGCAGGGCCAATCAGGGGGTTGGGGTGCTGCCCCCTGTCATGCACAGAGCAGGGCCAATCAGGGGGGTTGGGGAGCTCCACCCTGTCACGCACAGAGCAGGGCCCATCAGGGGGTTGAGGAGCTCCCCCCTGTCACGCACAGAGCAGGGCCGATCAGGTGGTTGAGGAGCTCCACCCGTCACGCACAGAGTAGGGCCGATAAGGGAGTGGGGCACCGCCCCCTGTCACAGACAGAGCAGGGCAGATCAGGGGGTTGGGGCGCCGCCACTGTCACAGGGCAGGGCCGATGGGGAGGTTATGGCTCTACCCCATCACACACAGAGCAGGGCCCGTGGGGTGGGGGTTGGGGCACCACCCCCTGTCACGCACAGAGCAGGGCCAATCAGGGGGTTGGGGTGCTGCCCCCTGTCATGCACAGAGCAGGGCCAATCAGGGGGGTTGGGGAGCTCCCCCCTGTCACGCACAGAGCAGGGCCCATCAGGGGGTTGAGGAGCTCCCCCCTGTCACGCACAGAGCAGGGCCGATCAGGTGGTTGAGGAGCTCCACCCGTCACGCACAGAGTAGGGCCGATAAGGGAGTGGGGCACCGCCCCCCGTCACAGACAGAGCAGGGCAGATCAGGGGGTTGGGGCGCCGCCACTGTCACAGGGCAGGGCCGATGGGGAGGTTATGGCTCTACCCCATCACACACAGAGCAGGGCCCGTGGGGTGGGGGTTGGGGCGCCGCCCTCTATCACCCACAGAGCAGGGCGGATCAGGGGGTTGGGGCGCCGCCACTCTCACACTCAGGGCAGGGCTGATGGGGAGGTTATGGCTCTACCCCGTCACACACAGAGCAGGACCGATCAGGGGGTTGGGGCGCTGCCCCCTGTCACACACAGAGCCACAGGGCGATCAGGGGGTAGGGGAGCTCCCGCCTAACAGGCACAGAGCAGGGCTCATCAGGGGGTTGGGGCGCCTTCCCCTGTCACAAACAGAGCAGGGCGGATAGGGAGGTTGTGGTCCCACCCCATCACACACAGAGCCGCAGGGCGATCAGGGGGTTTGGGCGCTGCCCCATCACACTGGTCCTGGTGCCGGGAGGCCTTGCGGCTCCGCTGATCCCGGTGCTGGGAGGCATATTACCCTTTTACTATATAGGATAGAGGCCTGGTGCATGGGTGGGGGCCGGCTGGTTTGCCCTGAGGGTGTCCTGGATCAGGGTGGGGGTCCCCACTGGGGTGCCTGGACAGCATGGATGAGGGGATGTGGCTGTTTGCAGCTGGTCACACACCCTTCAGGGTGGGGGTCCCCACTGGGGTGCCTGGCCAGTCTGGGTGAGGGGCTGAGGGCTGTTATCAGGCTGGCGGGTGACTGAAGCTCCCAACCGCTCCTTTTTTTCTTTTTTTTATTCTGGGCCAGCTTTAGCTTTGAGGCTTGGCTCCAGCTCTTAGGCCCCCGCTGCTGAAAGCAGGTTTCTGGCCTTTGTTTACCTTCTGTAT